CTGACTTCCAAGTGGTCTAATTTGTTGGTGATGCTTTCAATTGAGCTTTCAATTTTGGTTTATTGTTTCTTTCATTTCAAGGATTTCTGTTTGTTTGGTTTTGTTTTTGTTTGTTTGTTTGTTTGTTTTTTAAAACTCCTATTTTCCTGTTGAAGTAATCTTTTGCTTCCTGTATTTGTTTATGTAGCTCTTTGTCAAAATGATCTTTTGCTGCCTGTATTTGCTCTCTTATATCATCCTTTAATTCACAGAACATTTTAATCATGTACATCCTGAACTCCTTCTCTGTAATTTCTTCTGCTGTGCTGGCCATGGATTCTAATAATGTGGTGTCTTGATATGTTTTAGGGCACTTTCTTCCCTTGTCTTTTCATATTGCTTGTGTGTCTTCCCTTCTAGCACTGTGGATCCAAGGTGTTACTGTTTTTACCCTATAGGCTTATAGCACTCCTGTAGAGATCCAATACCTCTCCTTTGAGGTGAATGACAATGTTATCAGATTCCAGTACAAACAGCATATACCCTAAAAACAAATGTTTGCTATTAAGACATTTACAGTTTGGTCACAATGTACATAAATGGTGAATTCAATTATTATCTAAAATATATTCAGTAGGTTTGTAAAAGAGTCTACAGTTTCTAATGGTGGACAAAGAACCAGGGGGTGAGGAGTAGGAAGATATGGTGAGGATATAGAGTTGTTATATCTTAAGAAGTATGAAAGAGAAATCTAAAAAGGAAGATTAGTAGCAGGAGAAAGGAGAGGAAGCAATTTGGGGTAGACAAGTAAGTGGGAAGACAGTAGAGTACATAAAACAAACACACATATATATTGAGAAAAATAATGTTAAAATAGTAGATATTGGTGGGATAAAAGTATATATATAAACACATACACAACAAGCTGTAATATACTATTCAGACATCCCAGTCCTTAAAATCCTAATTGGCACTTGGTTTCACATATGTTGGGGATGTGAGGGCAGGAGAATAGAGTGGAAGAGGGGGAAAAAATCTTGAAGGTAGAAACAGAATTGTTTTGGTTGGAAATCTGTGTTTTTCCTGCTTCCCTTCTCATCCAAGAGGTGGGGTTGTCTGTTGTTAACTGGTATCTCCACCCTCAGGGTGGTGAAGTTAACCAGGGTGTCACTGTGCCAGGGTAGCGGCTGCTGGGGAGAGGAGGGAGTTAAAAACTGGACACCTGGCCAGCCAGAGTTCCAAAACTGGGATTTGCCCCCCACTGAAGATGATGATGAAGGTGGCCCAATATGGAGGCACCTGCTTTCAGCAGTAGGCTGTCAGGTTGTTTGGGGGGAGCCAAGTGATGGTGTTAGAGGATGAGTTCAGAAACTAGATTGTGCAGTGTGGCTGTCAGCTAACTTCAGAGCCTGTGTGAGGTTCTTGGGTGCAGGAAGACTACTGCACATAGGGGGCTACCTCCTCTGCTGCAGAGTCCCAAGATGGCGGTGACCAGGGAGCCCCACGTTGGTAGATGGGTGTCCACACAGGAGTGGCGGACAAAGTTCCTGAATATGGGAAGCTGCCAGATGTCTACGTGGGAGCTGCATCTGTGATTTCTGCTCCGGTGGGTGGCCAAAAGTTCTGTATGGGTGCTGATGGTGCTGCTCTGGTACCCTATAGTCCTGCATAGGCAAGTAGTTGGGAGATCTACTCTGATGCTGAGGCCTGGAGCCCTGGAGGGGCACAGTGGCCATGATCCCACATGGGAGCAGGAATTTTGCTTGCAGAGAAGCAGTATTCTCACAACTTGAGTCCCAGGTCATGGAGCAACATAGAATGCTTCCTCCCTCTGGCCCATCATCTTGGATCTCTCCTTGTTTATTTTTTTATGTGGTACTGAGGATCTAACTCAGTGCCTCATATGTGTGAGGCAAGCACTCTGCCACTGAGCCACAACTCCAGCCAAAGGTGGGCTTTTTTTAATGGGGCTACTAAATTGATAACTTTATCTGGTGGCAGTAAATGAATCTTTGCTGGAATGTTTTCCAGTGTAATTAGAGATTATACCATATACATAAAATAAATACTATATCAATTCAAATTAAACAATCTTTGGAATAATAGCCAAGGTGTGGAAACAACCTAAGAGTCCATTTGGCAAGTGAATTAATAAATAAAATGAGATATTTACATATATTGCATTAAGTCATTGTTTAAAAAGGAAATCTTGCCATTTGCCAACATGAATATACCTGGAGACAGTATGTTAAGTGATATAAGACAGACATAGAAGGACAAACACTATATAATCTCATTAATATGTGAAATCATAAAAGCAGAGAGTAAAATGGTGGCTTCCAGGCACTGGCAAGTAGTAGGATATAGGAGGTGAAAAAATGTTTGTTAAAGGATACAAACTTTCAGTTAGAAGATGAGTAAATTCTGAGCATCTAATGTACAGCATGATAACTATAGTTAAAAATACTGTATTATATACTCAAAATATGATAAAAGAGTATTTTTAAGTGCCTACAACACACATATACACACATATACACATTGTGATGGATGTGTTCATTACTTTGACCATGGTAATCATTAAATAATATATACATAAATCATCATTCTGTACCCCTTGAATATATACATACAATTTTATCAATTAAATATTTTAAAATAAAAATAACACTTTCAAAATCAATATAAAACAATTAGCACAATGTTACCCTTAAAAATCACCTTTAATATAATTTATAATGGAATCTTTTACTTGTCTTAACTAGTGACACATGATCAAAGTGACAGATAAAACAAGACTGAGCATCAAATTCAATAACATCAGTTACTTTTAAATAATAACTCTTTAACTTTAAAATGTATTGTTTTTATAGATAATCCATTATAATGAAAATCAAGTGTATAGTCATAATTTTGTCATACTAGAATTCTGCTTTATTAGCAAGTTCTTGCACATAGTAGACATTTTATAGATAATTAATATTTTTAATTTCATATGACTTGAATATTGCTAAGACCTACAAACTGTTTTGTAACTGGGATTTTGATGAAGTAATATGCCAAACAATTCTTAAGAAATCAATAAACATTTTCAAAAACACTCTCAAAAATCAAGGTAGATAAAATTAGTATTACATTAACATTAACTGAGAACTATCTGTCATAAAATACGTACTGAATTCCCTTTCCCTGTCTCATCTACTTGCTGATCATAAAAAGGCTGAATCTAGGTGCTATATCAAAATCTAAAATTAACATAATCACATTTTTAAGTTACATTTCTTTCCAATCAAATAAAATCACTTTAGGTCAATTACCCCCTTTTAATTTTCTAGATGGAATCAATAAATGGTTGGCGAGATGGTTTTAATAGTTTTAGAACATGCCAGAAAATACACACACACACACACACACACACACACACACACACACACACACACTGTGACCAGCATAACCCTAAATGTGGATTTGTATTGACTGCTATAGAATGTATCTTAGTAAAACATCACATTTGTTAGATTCTGTCAAGATATAAGTAGTTTCTCCACAATACTTTCTCCATTCATAAACAACGTGTCAGCATCCTTTGTTTTGCAAGTCTTATGTGACCAACTGAAATGTCTCATTGTTGCAGAACAAATAAGGGTTACTCAGAGGAAAGTCTACATATAATGCACTCTCTCCACCTTGTTTATATGTGTATTCTTTATGTATATATAGTCAAAGAATATATATTATTTATATTGAAAAGTAGTAAGAAACTATGGGTATAAAAATCACCCATAATTTTACCGTATTAGAAGAAAATACAGATGGAGAATGTATGCCAGTGGTAGAACACTTGCCTAGCCTGTGTGGTGTGAGGCCCTGCATTCCTGAAGGGGGTATGGGGACTACATGTATCAAAATGTTAATGTTTATCTCTTAATGGTAAAATTGAGTGTTTTTTTTTAATTCGATCTTTTTTCCCCAAATGGATTTTTTGTTGGTTGATTGGATGATTAGTTGATTGGCTGCCTGGCTGGCTTTTACAATTCTTTCAGTGATCTTTATCAGAAAAACAGTAAGTTATTTTTTTTCCTTTTTTTAACATAAAACTATTCCACAGGTAGCCAAGACAAGAGATTTTAATGGTGGTGTCTCCATAGTCATCTAGTATCAATTTCATACCAGATATTAGTATTTTAGCCTGCCAAMGTGGATAATTAAACCTATCATCAGCAAAGCTCATGATTTGTAGTAAATGTCAACTCATGCTAAGTAAAAATGTGTACCTCCCTCTCTACTATTTATCTCATAGAAAAAAATAAGCAGAACATTTTTAAATGGCCAGAGGTAAAAATCAGTGTAGTTTCACACAGAGGTAAACTCTGAGTGTATTGAGTCCACAGAAAAAAAGTTATTTACTATGTATGGTATAAGTATAAAGGGAGTTCCCTCACAAATTTTGGGTTAAGGATAAAAAAGTTATATCTATATCATTGTATAAGTTTCTTCAACTCTGCTTTAAGAAAATCCAATACACAAAATCTGGGTAAGTCAGAGAATCATTATGTATATTATCAAAGGATTATTCACTTTATGAAAGACTTTATCAAAGAATTCCTTTAAGCAGCTGCTTTTATCATGCATTTTGATATTTTAAAGATAGTTTCTATTTGACAAATGAGCCATCGTATCTCTGAGCAAGTCACTGAAATTATATACGAAAGGTGGCTTTAACCACACTACCTATCTCACTCACTATCAAACAAGATAATTTATAGATGGTTACTTTGAAAATTATATATACACACTTATACTGCTGTTGCTGTTAAAAGATCATCTGGTGAAAAATTTTCAGAATTGTATTATTATTACTAAATACATCTCTTTATACATTTTAATACCACTTTATTAAAAGGAAAATTTTAGATGTCATATTCTTATATAAAAATCAAATCTTTCTTTGGTTCATTAGTTTTCCATGTTTTTAGTTCTTCTACCATTGTTGCACATTATAATTTCCATGATATTAGTACCTGAATTATGAGAGGCTCCAGCAACTTCTCTACAGTAAATGTTTGGACCTGAAGATCCTGAGGATCAATATTCAGTATGATTGGTGATTCAGCTGACATATTGCCTGTGCACAAGTATATAAAAACAATGTTCATTAGTTAAGAAAGATATTTTCTAAAGACAAGCATAAATGAAAATTAGGAAACAGTTGAAACCTGTATTTGGCATCTCTTCCAGATATCATCTATAGCTCACAAAGGACTACTGTGTCAGATATTCCCCAAATTTCTCTGAGATCATGTTATCTGGGCTTAGATGCCCTCACAAATTAATCTACACTCATAAATTCATGACTAAATTAAAAACTCAACAAATGCATTTATATGTGTTAAAAATAAGTGCCAACTTGTGAGACATCTTACAGCATGCAGGTACTTTGACTTCCACAAAATCATAGTGCTGAAGCAGCTCACACATATATTTTTTTTTCATTTGACAATGTCTTTATCTAGTAGTAACATCACTTTGAAAAAATATTCATTCAAAAACCTGATAAACATCATAACAGTGTGCATGTACTTCATGCTGCTGTTCCGCACATTTAAAAAATGATTAACATGGTAAAATTTGTTATGTATATTTTAACAAAATTTATTTTTTTTATTGTTGGTTGTTCAAAACATTACATAGTTCTTGATATATCATATTTCACATTTTGATTCAAGTGGGTTATGAACTCCCATTTT